GAAGACGGCGGTCTTCTTTTAGTGGAAGGAGAAACCGGAGAGTTTCTTTGTCTCTTTTTGTTGGAATAATCTTCACTTGAACTGGTGTCAGACGATGATGACTGGCACGACATCATGTTATCGATGAAAGCAGACGTAGAAGCCTTTGGAGAGGCTACTCGTGGAACTGGTTTAGTAGCAGAGGAAGTAGACTGCATTTGAGAGGCTACTCGTAGAACTGGTTTCGCAGCAGAAGGAGCTGACTTTTGATTTCTTTCGAGCGACGCAACTTTGGTCGTAAGTTGCTCAATTAACTTGACGTAAGTCTGATTAGACTTGATAAGGGCGGCAATTTCTTGACGCAACATCTGAAGAGCAAAAGTGTGCTCTGAGTAAGGCACCTCCTTAGGGGCCATCAGCGGGATGCGAGGCTCAACGCTGGCGGGATCGCCCTCGTCAGGAGGGTCGAAGAAATCGAAAGGGAGCGACATGATTACATGCAAACGGAAAATCGACGGAAAATACTTAAAATTAAGAATGAAAAACTTAAAATTAAGAACGAAACTTAAATTAATAAAGAAAAGAAAACTTAAATTTAAGAACAAGCTTAAACCTAAGAATTCTAAAACTAGTAACTGATAATGATATTCAAAAAACGAAAAGTAAATTAACAACGAACAAAGAGAACAGCACAAGGCTGTGTTAACGGAGGAGCTGCACAAAAGCGTAATGTAACTGTTTTATGTTTAAAATAATCTCTCGCATTCGTTTCTTCTGCACATGAAACCATCGGTCCCGTAGCAATATTTTATTCAATTAATTATCGCAATCTTCTATATTAATTGAATTCAGACAATCGACGTATCCGTCGCATCTTTTGATCTTCTATACATGGAACCATCCATTTACGTTTCTGTCGGTGCCGTAGCGTTGAACCATGCTGTACAAGTAATGGTGGTATAACGCATAAAAATGTTAAGATAGTTTGCCGCTAAAACATATTTGTATGTATGTACTTTTATGTTTTCGTTGAAACATTATTCCCTATAATTATTATAAGTGGTTTATAAGAAAGGTTAAAATATTTCTAAGTTTAATCTAAATGTTTAATGTCAATTAATTCGTCGCAATCTTCCACATCCGATGAATCTAGACATCCGTCGTCGCATGTTTTACTCATCGGTATGCATTTACTGTTTCTGTCAGTGTACATGTAATGGTGGTATAACGCATAAAAATTGTTAAGAAAGTTTGCCGCTAAAACATATTTGTATGTATGCACTTATTGTTATCTTTGAAACATGATTTCCCATAATTATTATCTATATATTCGTACGTTTATACGAGGTTTATAGGAAAAGTTAAAATATTTCTAAAATTAATTTAAATGTTTAATGTCAATTAATTATCACAATCTTCCACGTCCGATGAATCTAGACATCCGTCGTCTCATCTTTTACACCGATGAGTGTTACTGTTTCTGTCGGTGCCGTAGCGTTGCACCATGCTGTACATGTAATGGTAGTATAACGCATAAAAATGTTGAGAAAGTTTGCCGGTAAAACTTCTCTATGTATGTACTTTATGTTTCCGTTGAAACATTATTGCCTATAATTATTATCTATATATTCGTACGTTTATAAATGTTTTATGTTTAAAATATTTATTTCATTGATTATATATAGAATATATAGATTTAACAAAAATACAAAATATTACTTAGTTTTCACAATTCGCGCTTCGACCGAGAAATCGCCGCAATTGTTTTCTGCAAAAAGTAAAATTGGTAATAGCCCTTTGTATCAGTTGACTTTTTTGTAATTATATATATTTAGTTTGTTCTTTTTATTTCTGTATGTTTTTTTTGTACGACTGATGCAATAAACAATATTATTGTTAAAAATCGTTGCGGATAGTTTAAGACAGTGGTTTCGAAACTTGATGTTACTACGCCTCCCTCAAAAGTATGTAATCATTTGGCGCCTCCCCTCCCCCTCCATTTCATAAAAGACATAAAACTTTAGCAGATATTTGGAAAATTGCTCACTGCTACTAATATTCGCGCCTCCCCTTAGACTAGTCCACGCCTCCCCAGGGAGGCGTACTAAATTTAATCTAAATGTTTTATTTTTACAAACTTTATTTGAAGGATTATTTGAGAATATATATATATACTATAAACTGTTTACAATTTATTTATCATCGAATGTAAATATATTCCTAGAATGGTAATAAGATTGCTAAAGAATAGATCGACTACCTAATACTACACGGTTTTTGGTAATTTCTATAATATTTAAGGAGAATACATTCCTAACTATTAAATTTAAAGAAATTATGATCATAAAGTGGGTGTTAAAAAAAATACTTTCGTTGGTATTTATCATATATATATATATGTTTGTATGTATGAATATATTCAGTAACAGTGTGTATTGTTATTTTGATTAGTAATAGTATTAATAATAATAACTAACTGAAATCGAAAACTTCGTATTATCTTTCGCATCCTCCGTTTATCACATATGTTCAGAAACATCCTCATCTCGTCGTCATCATCATCATCATCATCACAACATTCATTCATTTTCGCATTCATTATTAAATAATTCTAAATCAATTAATAATATAGTAAATACGGAGAAGAAATGTAAATAATATACAGTAATAAATATCAGTAGCTTAAGAAAGAAAACAAAGTACTTGTATGTGGTGTGATGTGAAATAGACAAAACAAAAAACATAATGTAACAGTTCTATACAAATATCCTAATGTATATAATAAAATAAGAAAGTAACTAATATTAGAATTATCACATTTAATAAAAAGAAAAGAATCGAAGAAAGTGAAAAGTTTAACGAAAATATTTTGTTTACATCTAGAGTGCCGTCTGTGGTTCAGACTGAGTCGCCGTTGCCATGTCAACGGTTATATTGCCACTGATTGTGGTAACATGGTTACCGATGCTCAGACCGCCCACTTTTGCTCTTTGGTACGCGCTGACCGTATTTTGGCCCAAGAATCTAGAAAGAACAAACAAACAAACATTTAGTATACGAATTGCGAAAGGAAGTTATAAGAAAACTTACCTGATGCAAACGTAAATGACAAGTAAAGCGATGCTTGCGCTGATCATCCTTATGTACGAATCCTCGAACATTTGAATAACAATCCAAGCAGCAGCAACCGTCAAACAGAGACACGTAACAATGAAAGCGGTGCTACCCCAATGCTGAGCGGTGAAGCCCCGTTCCCAATCCAACTTTGTCGTGCTCTGAACGTCGTACGCGCACTTGCACACTTTACATTTCAGATGTTCGGCATTCGTGGCTGTGCTCTCCATCAGCCATCGTCTCAGGCAATCGTGATGCACGCTTGAAACGTCCCCGGTACAATCGCACGGCTGTATCAACGGATCCTTCTTATCAGAGTCATAGCAAATCCAGCATTCCCTCTTCTCAAGAAACGCGTCGTCCTCTTCCTCCTCGTTGCCCTTATCCGCAACAGGTGCCACCTCCTCCTGACACTGCTTCTGGTCCAATCTGGCCAGCAACTTCTTTGGATTCAGAATCCATAATTCACCTGGTTGCATGCAATTCCAAAGAACGGCCGGAAACCAGATGGCCACGCCGATTTCGACCACACGGAACAGAATGTCGTGCCAGTTGCGAGAATTCACAGGCACCTTGGTTTTCCAAAATTCCGAGAGAGTCTCGGAGAAGAGGAAAGCGACGATCACGATCAGCATCAACGCCTGGCTGAGAAGACCGATACGCGATTGGTGCAGTTGCGAATTATTGATGAGTGGTCTCAACTCTTCCTGCGTCTGAATTCGGAGAGGTTCCGATTCTCCTGCACCGGCAATTTGTACTGGTTTCGCCACGAAACCACCACGAACCTAATTGCAAAATAATTCACTTTACTTATTATTATTATTATTACTATTGATCTAATCTTAATATATGTTTTTGACAGCCTTAAGAGCTGCTCAAATCGTAATCGATAATTTCTGAAACAAACAAAACGTGTTCGTTTCGTTCGTAGATATTAATAGCTTCGCAATTTACCTTAAAGTAGACTTCGACGCCGTAGATGAGGAAAAACACGACGACGATGAACATGAGGACAGCGTAACATCCGTTGAAGATGTGCGTGTAGAAACTACGCTCGGTATCTGAAGAATCGGCCAACTGTGTTGTAACTACCTCAGCCAAGAGAAGGCCGAAATTTATGAGATTGAAAGTGACGAAACCGAGGAACGATTTGGATAAGAACTGAGGCTTTTCCCAGCGTATGTCGCGCAAATGGAACGCCTGCAAAAAGGAAAACAAGAAAACGATTGTTTTACGAGAAGCTTGCTTATCGGTTCGAGCGAGTGCGAGCGCACTCAAACCCATAACAAGTATTCGAATTCCATTCCGATTGATTCACCCACCTCAGCCCAGAAGCAAACGATCAGCGAGGACCCGGTCATCAGTAACGGGTAATAAGCAGACAGCAAACTGCTGCTCCATCCGTTCTTGAAGTTATCCTGAAACGATTTTTATTTTTAAATCAATTGCTTTGTTAAATGGTATTGATTTATTGCTTACCGGCGACAGGAAGTAAGCACCCCTTATGATGCTCGCAAGGAACGTCACAAAGTATAAGAATTTCTGCGTGGTGATCTTGCATGCCTTGAGGAAGGTAGGCGCCTTCAACCTGTGGTACTCAGAGGCGATGCACATGAGCAGCTGAACGGCGCAGACGAAGGCTACCACGAGGAAAACGCCGCCGATTCCGGTGTGGTACGGTAAATTTGGACCGTCGCAATATTCACCGGCGAAACGAATCTCGCAAAGGCAAGTGCCGTTATGGCACTCGCCCCTGCCCGAACAATCATCCGTGCATCCGAAACCTGACATCAGCAACAGGTGTCGGATCATACCTGCTGCCATCCACTCGACAACACTGCAAAATTATACACACAAAACATAAATTACAATCCTCTTCTCTGAATGTTGATCATCAACAACCTCCTCCTCCTCATGCAAACCTTCCCCGTATCGATTTGAATGTCATCATAATAAAAATTAAATTCTTCCCACTCCAATTGACAATTATTCTGTCAAATTCCCATATGTAAAAATTGATACTCCAATTCAGCTCAGTTTATTTATAATGTACACTACTAAATAATAGCCATCACCAATTTAGCAAATTAATCCATTTCCTTCCTGCTATTTATTATCACCATACGTATATAAAACTGTTTCACATACAGATATATACTTTTCTAAACAATAGTTATTTACTATAATTTTACTATGCAATAACATTTATTGTAAAGTCTTCCTTTCAACATCTGAACTTGAAAGATAACAAAATACTAATTGTGAAAATTCCAATCAATATATGTTCAAGACGAATTATTCTTTGATGGGACAAAAGGAAAATGCATTTATATGGAATGTTAGAGGTATAAAAATAAACATTATTCTATTGTGTAACTACATATATATATATATATATGCTTCCTTTGACCTAGTCCAGGTAGGGTCAACTTTGTGAGTTGCTGCCAAAACTGTACTTGTACTCACCTTGCTCAGAAAATGTATTTGAACGTTGCGAAGTACAGCAATTACCATCTGTATCGAACAAACGATAGTAGATCATCGTTAGTAAACATGCACATATCAATAGTTTTCACACATTCACATACGTCGAAGGATCTGCGCCCCCTTCACAACAACGCCATTTTTAACTAGCGCACTCGATACGCAAGCGCGTTCTCTACAGTTCTCTGTACAAGTGTGTACAAGACTGTAAAACCAGCTGTTTATTTCAACCAAATTCGTTTACTTGGCTCATCCATAATGACTAATTGTACTAAATATTAACTATGCTGCAATAGCTAGATTAAGTCGCATTAGACAATAAACACGAAATTTTCATAAAAGCATACAGAATTATTTTCATTACACATTTTAATATATATATATATATAGAAAATCAATCCTTATCAATTGGCCTTGTTATAGATTTATATTTTCGTTGGAATAATTCCACAAGTTATGCAAATTAATTGGTGGAATGTATATTTGGTAACATATATTCATTACTAATTATTGAATCAATTATTAATTATACAAATTGTTCGAGTTTTTCTATTTAAGTTTTTCCAATTAGAAATAATTAATTATATAAATACTAATTGATAAAAAAAAATCATTTCATAATAACACTGAGAATTGGTGAGAATTATCGAAGAGTGCGTTTGCGCAGTTGGTCAGATGTAACGGACAAAAGTGATAGAAGTTTGGTTTGAAGCCCAGTCAAAAGGGAAAAGCTGTGATTATTTTTGAAAATTTGGCTTTTAAACGAAGATATTCTCTACATATTCGTGATTAAATGTGATTTTTTTTTATATATATATAGACACGTAAAGTCTGAACCGTAGACTTTCCCATTTTATCACAAAGACCGTTGAGATTTTTTTTTGTAAACGTTTGTTTGCTCGTTACGTGCTCGAAAACAATGCCGAGAACTAAAGTGGTGAAGAGTTCAGTGAATAAGAACAATGAAGTTATCCTGGGCATGCTGGACATGCATCAGAAAATATGTAAGTAAACATTGCAGTTTGTTTCGAAGTGTTTGTCTTAGTAAGGAAGGTAAATTTTGCAGTTGATAATGAGAAGCAACAACGGGAAAGCAAGATTGATCAATTGATCAAGGAACTTGAGAGGAATTTTCAGATGATTCGATTGTCCATCCCATTCCATACATTAAATAAGACTATCGCCGAATTGCGGGTAATTATTTGATGTATTTTAATCAACAGGTGAAAATTACTGTTTCTCCTTCTTTGCAGACTGAGACTGATGGTACAGCCACTATTAATTCGATCTGTGAGAATTACTCTGCAGAGACCTTCTTTGATGCGACCCGCAGTATTCAGAAGGGTAAAAAATCTAAATTAGTGAAACGCAGCAGATCATCAGCTGATGATGAAGGTAATTTCATGTGTTCTCTCTTCTTCTTCTTCATTTCATTTACTTATGGGGGTAGTTGTGCTTATATGGTGTGTGTGTGTGTTTACTAATTTAGCTAGACATTTCAACTATTAACATTACATGTGGCCCATTCTTTTGCACTATATAGGATATCTTACAGCGGAGAACAGCGGTTCTCAGTCATCAGCTATGTCTTCGCGTACATCGAGGAGCAGAGCTAAAGTGAACAATACCGCCACAAAGAGAGTGTCCAGGTCACTTTCCAGAAACAAGAATCCATCTGCAATACCCTTGCACAAAACACCCCTGAAGAAAAATAAACCGATCGAGTCGTTCGGTATGGTTACGCCGAAGGTAATAATACTTGAAAAACTAAGAGAAAAGCAACATTAGCAATATTCTGTGTACGTTTCAGGTGAAACCAAATACGCCGCAGGTGATACTTCGACGACCGAAGCAAGGTGAGGTGGCGATCTCGCTGCAAGGAAGCCCGCTGATGGTGAACAACGTTATGTTGGACCAAATGGCGAACGTGAACATCCCGTTGGGCGATGGAAGGATCATCACGATTCAACCGCACAGGGGTTTGAGGCAATCGCAGATCCCCGAAATCGATGCAAATACACAAAGACAATTGAAGGCGCTCAGGGATAACTTGAATAAGATGTGCGCCACGTCGGCCGTCGCTAACAGCAAATGATTATAATATATACAATTTCATTTATATTTTCTTATATAAATATTGTCTTTCGATTCACCCAAGTATTTATAAGTTTTTGTAAATTTTAAATAACTAAAGAATTCATGTTTCAAATTGTATAGATATTTATTTAATACCGATGAAGAAGGCCTCATTGGACTTTTCATATTTTAGTTTTTTGTAACACATTCTCTTGAAATCTTCATTCGCGAACTCGTGCCGTTCGGGGCGCGCCTTCGCCTGCACTTGCTTCGGAACTCTAATCGGTGGATTGAACGCCATCTCAGACATATCGAACTTTTCGAATAACTCTTCCATTGTACTGCAACAACAATAATAATATTAATTGATTGACACCTTTATAAACTTTCCACTTACCATTTGGCATATTCCATGGGCAAAGTAGCGCCTTCCTTCGCCGAATTGGCCCCATTTGCTATATGCACCGCATACTTGGCTACAATCGGATGGTAATGTTTCGCCAATAAAGTCAACTCGTAGAGAGCGGTGTTAGCTGCTCCAGAGTATTCGGGTTCTTCTAAATGTGGATCGAATTTTCCATCGCCTAAATAAAAAAGAAACAAACATTAAAATTGATTGACAATAGAAGGTGTATAAAGATTAAAACTCACCGACAGAATTATCCAGATCCAAGAGGATATCAGTTGCGGAATTTAACTGGAATGCGGTTTTAACGAATGAGAGTGCACCGATCGATCCATTGTGCAGCAGCTGAAGTGCCAAAGTTGTGACTCGTTTCACGAATCCGATTAACCGTTTGTTCGTGATTTTCTTTCTGCGATTGAGGAGCGCTTCGGCCAACGCGCTAAATACGATCTCCATGTTATTGTGAGTTCTGCCTGCAGTGGTGCACAAAAGATCCTGGTAGAAATACTTGTAGAACCTTGTCGGATCCATGTTCAAAATCTCTCCTTGTCCACCCAATATCGAGAAAACCGTTCGAACGCAATTCAAGTTTTCCCTGTAACCCAGCCAGTCCTCCTTCAACAATTTGTCCAGCACATTCACGATATCAACATAAAACTCTAAATTTATGCAATGCGCAAACCTGCAATAAATAATCATTATATTCTCGTATAAATCATACGATGAATTTGATAACTTACTTAGCCAAACCCTCTAAGCAAGCGCCCAAAACTTTAGTGTTATTCGAGCTTTTCAAAATCCTAAAGTAAATCCCGAACAAGATCTTCGTTATCTCCGTCAAGTTGTGGTGCTTCATTTGCTTGCTTTCCTCTGCTTTCGTTTCAAGCATCTCTTTTTCAAGTTCCTTCAACATCTTTCCTTTCTGCACAAAAAAAGAAAACAAATCTTGCATAATTTATAATTACTAAATCACTTAAATAAAAAAAATACCTTTCGCTCGCGTTTCGACAATCGTAGAATGTTCCCTTTCTTCGAATTCAGCTTCTTCTCCTTAATATCGTGTTCCTTCTCCTGATCTAAATTAACATCTTTGATACGTAAAGCTAAGAACACCTCGAGCATATCCGCGTTCACGTTATGCGCGTGATTCCTCAAGTACTGATTTACGGCTCGCATTACCTTCAACGTGATTTCCTCACGTTTATCTTCCTTGAAGACAGTTTTGCAAGCTGCTGCCACCAATTGCCTAACATTCTTATTGGGATTATTCAAGAACGGTACTATCGTTTGGACAATATTCTGCGCAAAGTTAAAGTACGGATGGCTCACAAGCAAATCGCACATAGCATGGACAGCGACCTCGGCCACATTAATTTCACCCTCGGAAAAGACGCGCGCGTCTCCTCGTTTTCGATGTAAAATGTACATGAACTTCTCCAGATGCTGTAAATACTTCTTGTAACTGCTCAGAAGAGTTTCCTCGAATTTGTGCTGCTTCAAAGTGTCCTTCTTAACTTTAGTTTCCGTGATATCTTGCAACTTCAAGTTGTAATTGGGCAAAATATCTTTGAAAACCTCCAATAACGCGACGATCGCTAATTTGCGAACGGTCACGTACACCTCCGGCGTATCATCGTCCAATATCTTCATTAACAAACGTAAATTCAATATATTCTCCTCAGGGTTTTCGAGAATTATCGAACTTAGATTTCCAATGTAAATCTTTTTCTGTCTCAAAGTTTCGTTGCGATTTGATAACATTTGAGCTGCGGAAACTGGCACGGATTTATCTATACCGTCTTCATTGAACACATACATGCCTTCATCATCATCATCATCACCAGTATCCTCATTTTCATCATCAATATATGATTCCTCCATCTGCTCTTCCTCCTCCTCTTCTGGTTCATCAACCTCATCTTGTTCAACTGATCTTTTAACTATACCTTTATTAGTTTTAATTGGAAGCAAATTCTTTACCACCTTTGTTGGTTTCAGTTGACTTTCGTAATCATTTTCTAAATCATCACCATCATCATCTTCTTCCTCGTCCTGTAACTTTCGTTTCTGTCCTTTTGATCTGCAATAAAAATCAAGTTACAATTTATGATTTTTAACAAACTATTAAACTTACTTGTCAAATTTAACATTTTTCAATAGGCTATAAGATTTGTTGGCAATTGCAGTTTTCAAAAAGGCCAAATCTTCCTCCTCCACCATATCAAGCATATCCTCTCCATAATCACTTTCCTCAGATTCCTCAACATCCTTAATTTTAGGCTTAATTAATTTGGGTACAGTTTCTCTTCTTTTGTTTTTACCACCTTTGAACTTTTTGTTGGAAGCCTTTACTTTTACTGATTTTTTATTATTACTAGAGGACGAGTTTTTAACAGCCTTTTTGGAACCCTAAACATAACACACATATATATAGAATATAAATAAAAACAATAAATTTAAAAACTTACCATTGTAAATTATAACCTAACTAAACACATGTCAGAAAAAGCATAACCTTACTAAAAAATATTTTGAAAACAAAGATGCATGCTTTCTGTCTAATCGGGAGTAATCGATTAAGTTCGGATTTTTTGATCAGTGTATTTTTATCATGATATATTGTAATGAAAGCATTACATATACGACTTATACTTATTTATTTTATGGAAATTATAAATATTCATAATTAAATAAAGTGTTTCTTCTATATTGTATATAAAATAACTATAATTATTTTTCTTACATTGGCAAAAATTACTTGGTTATTTTGGTTTTCTGTACACCCTGTACAAAATTATTTACGAATTTACCCAGCTGGTATCTGCTGTCAAACCAAAAATAACTGACATACTGTGTCAAACAGCGATTTTAGTACACTAAAGATTTAGTACGTTAACTGTTTATTTATCAATTATATTTCACTAAAAAATCCTTTAAAATGAGTCGCAAGGAAGCTTTATCAAATTTCATTCAACAAATTCATGCACGACCGGTTGTTGTCAAGTTAAATAGCGGCGTAGATTACAGAGGTTAGTACTGTTTAACGTATTATTTTGTATTTAAAAACTAGCAACAAGTCAACATAAGAGTTTACTTTCTATTTTTTTTTCTAACATTTTGTATTTATTATTTTTAGGTGTCTTGGCATGTCTGGATGGATACATGAATATCGCTTTGGAGCAAACTGAAGAATATGTCAATGGACAATTGAAGAATAAGCATGGAGATGCATTCATACGGGGCAACAATGTACTTTACATCAGTACACAAAAACGAAGAGTTTAAAATGTGTAAATATTCTCAATAAAATCTCTATTTCTAATGATACTGATGATGATTTCTAAGCCATTACATTTTTACTAATATCTCAAAAAGTATTAGAGACAAATTAATTTATGACCATACAAATTAAAGCTAAATATTCACTCTTTAAAACTAGTATACTGGTAAAGTCGTATCTATCTATTATGTAGATATAATTCACTGTGAAAATTGGGATTTGATATTTTCAATTAAATTTAATTAGCAACGTTCGTTTAAATAAAATTTAATTGAGGTAAACATTTTTATTATAAAACAGAGATAAAGCAATAGAAAAATGTAAAATAATCTACAATTAAATAAAAAATAATGTTTGTACACATAAAATACTGCATATCAGTCTTTCCTTAACGCGTAATAAATATCGTCCGAGCTAACATTCAAAATAAGTTTTTGGTTCAGATCAACTGATTTCTGTTCCGTCAAAAGCAACCTGCACGCGCCCAAACGAGCGACCGCTGCTAGAGCTATCGTTATCGAAACCTTGCGGAATCCATCAATGCCAGCGACGGATAGGAACATGGTGTAAACATCGGCGAAAGTGGTTTCGTCGACGCCGGTTCTCTCGACCTGCAAAAATATTAATTAGTAAATACATTACAATTAGATTTATATGCTCATACCTCTGCCACCACGGATTGCAGAATTAATTGCTCCAATCTCGAGCTGACTTTGATTGCTCGCACTTTCGGTTGCGTTATCATTGAGTTCAGTGCTTCATTCACGTGTCCCATCGACACCAACTCCGCATTGTTGTCGGCCTCCGCGATTTCGGCGGCTCTTCGACAAATGTCCAACGCCCTTCTCGCATCTCCAGACACCGAAGCCACTTTCCTTGCGGCCAACTGAATAGCGTCTGGATTGAACGCATTCGTACCGGTCAAACGTTTCGTCACGATTTCCTGCAGCTGCTTGTGTGTATAAGCTTGGAACGTTAAACGCGTTAAACCCAAGCGACTCGTTACTCTTCCCATCAATAATCTGGAAAAATATATTTGAAACTGTTAGATTAGTTGTTTATGATTATTATATTGAATTGTACCTCTCTGGCAAATCCATGGTATTGGCAATCGTAAGAACTATCAATTGCGCTGTAGCCTTTGTAGGCCAATCCAGTAAATTGTAAACAACGTCTTGTCTTTTCGTGCACAAAATATCCAACTAAAATCGTATCATTACCATCCATTTCTTTCAATATGTGAATGTTATATACTCACTTCATCCACCAACAAAACTACTGGTTTTTGTTTCTTTTTGCCTTGTTTCTTTGTGAAACGATTATCCAACATTTTTTGCGCTTGTTCCCACACAACGATTTGTCCGTCGAGTTGTTTCAATATCTACAAAGTATGTAAATTACAGACTACATTTTTGTACTTTCATTTTTTTTTTTACTTATACACACCTCAACATAGGATTGCCTAGGTTCGGATAATCTCATCCCGTTGATGCTAACATAATCGAATTCAGGAATTTCGCAATCATCGGCTTTACTTTGTAAGTTTTTAATGACTTCGGTCACAGTGGCAGTTTTTCCAGTCCCTGGTACACCTGATATATAAATGCACCTAGAACGATAAAACAAATGAAATGATTAAAAAAAAGAAATATATATATATAATTACCCTCCGCAACCGTCCAACAATTTTCCTTCGACGAAACTAATGATATCATCAAATTCCTTTTCTCTGCACGGCAAAGCTTTAGGTACGTACGAGACGTGCAGTTTAGTTCTGGCCATGTTTAATGGGGTAGCAGCATTCAAGACTGGTACATTTCTGATCTGCATTGACGGTGTTATCGTTCCTTCCATCAACTTTTTCCTGAACGAAGCGGACGAATTTGTTGGAGTTTTCGGAACTTTAGGGGTTTTCGATACTTTTGGTGTTTTCGGTGCTTTAGGTGTTTTGGGAGCTGGCGTTATCTTAGCTTTTTTCATTTCTTCGATGATCGAATCCAACACTTTAACACGTTTCGTCTGTCTCGTCGGCGTTCTAAGTTCAATTTCAGTTTTCTTCTTTGGCGTCTCTTCTAAAACCACTTTCTTAATGGGTGTTTCAAAAGACAGTTTCTTTTCCAACTCTGAATTGCGTCTAGTTTTTATTTTCACAGGCGTTTCGAATTTCAGAGGAGGCAAATCCAAGAGAGTCTCAACAGACATTTTCTTTTCAGCCTCCGAATTGCGTCTGGTTTTTATTTTCACAGGCGTTTCAATTTTCGGTGGAGGAGGTGAATCCAAGAGAGTCTCAACAGACAGTTTCTTTTCAGCAACCGAATTGCGTCTGGTTTTTATTTTCACGGGCGTTTCAAATTTCGGTGGAGGAGGCGAATCTAAGATTGTTAACAGCTCGACTTCGTCGTCGATTTCAGCGTAAGTCACAGTTTTCATGGATTTCCTTTTACTCCTCGATAAACCTGAGTCATCTAATTTCTGCTTCTTCTCGGGTGTCAGTAGTTCAATTACTTCGGTGCTTTTATTTCTCGTCCTTCGTTTCGGTGTGTAACTCAACGATTCCAAAGTCTGATTGTCTTCATTGCTTCTGGTTGCTGGTTTGCTCAAGTTATCGTTGGCGCCTTTCAAACGATCCCTCCTTGGAGTCTTCCGCGGCGAGATATAATCCGTATAAGACTTTCTGATGGAAACCCTCGTCGATTTCCTCACACTTGGTGTTGTTGCTTCAGCGTTTTCCTTATTTACCATTTCGTATACTAAATTATCAGGCAACTTTTCTAGGCAAACTGAGGGCTGCAACTGGGATTTTGATAACTTCAATTTGATCTTCAGAGGTTCAATTTCGCTCTCCTCAACAATCGAGTAGTTCATAACAGGACTCTCCATTGTTGGAGTGTTGTTAAACGAATCATTCAAATTTCGTTTAGCTTTGTTCGGTGTTACATTCGCGGCGGCATTAAATTTATTGCTTGGAGACAGCACTAAATTCCTGTTGCGCAATTTTTCCTCCTCTATCTTGATATCAGGTGTGCAATCACTTTCCAATGAAGTATCAAAGATTGGAATCAACTTATTCTTCTTGATCTTGTACCTGCAAGAGTAATAAACCCTTTTGTCAAGTTGCATCTCGGATATCAAATGGACTGGATCAGTTTCTATAGCAAAAACCAAGCTGGCTTTCCACATGATGTTCCTCAAATTCAAAATATCGTTGGCCTTCCTCAGATCCTCAACTACCTCATTCTCTTCATCAAATGTATGGCCCTCCAAGTACAGTCTGGGCAGGTCCTTGGTAAATGTGAACCATCTGACTACAGCCCGAAGCTGTTCTGTTTTATGCCATTTTGCAGATGACTCATATAGACACAGCAATTGGCAAACTTTCAATTTGGTACTGCTACTCTTCACTAAGGCCATATCGTTAACTTTGAAAGTATAATTTTCATATTGGAAAGACCTAAATAAAAAACAAAAACACATATAATAATGAGCAATTAATTATACGTGATAATTGCAATAAATTTACCTGTAGAATTTATAATGCTGATCCTTCAAATTTTCATTATAACAATAGACTTCTTCTCCAGTCCACTTAAAATTATCCATTTTCAAGTGGAAATGTTTATAGCTTATTTTATAATCATATAATTAACACTTTCTAACAAAATTTTATGAGAAATAAAACTTTAAAACGTAAATTTTTAACCACAGACTGCCACAGACTGTTGCACGTCTTCAAACAATAGAATAAATCTGTTGACAACAGTTTTGGCGCGGTAACGTATACACTGTAGCCAACAATATTATTAATTATGTGACTCTAGTAACACAGTCAACACAATATAAAAATTATAAACTTATATATTCGAAAATAACATACATGTTTTAGAATCTTATAGAATTGTAAACAAGCAAAAATTAAAGAAACATTCGTTGTTTTTTAAATAGCAACTAGGTAAAAATGTCGTTCTTTTTCGTATTATTTCGTAAGTAACGGCTTTCCATATGTTCTGAACATATGGTATATGTACTATGATATGTATGCAAAAGTATATGCATTTTTCATATATTTAGTCTTCCTGGAAATGCTCTACTTTGTTTTATTATTAAATATATAAAATACTAAAGTCCAATGAAGGATAAATCATTCCTTAAATATCGCTAAGAAACGTTGTTTTTTCGGTAATTAGAATGAAGAAAAGTGTGCTTTTAAGGAAGAAAATACCAGCAGCTATGAAAACACGGATACCTTGCAGGTTGCCTAATAATCACCATCTTGCGTTATAATATAAAGTATCCCTCCCGCCTGGTATTTATTATTCAACAGTTAACCGCGCACCGGTTTGTTTGGGCGCGTAAACTACCAGTTCTCAGTTTTTCATTGGTTTTGGCGGAATAGCTCCAGCCACACTTTTATTTATCGAATGCTTCACATTGTTATACGTTTATACAACAAAAGAACATATAATTTGCAAATGGTAAGTAATTTCCTTTTCAGCTAATATACAGATATTAGCTCATATGGAAATCAAGGGGTTAAGGTTAACTACTATTTATCAACTGTTTTATTATAAACATAGCATGCTTCAATAAATAATTTCGCTAATTATTTACAAAGCACGATTGATATAATATCATACAATTGCTTTTAAGTGTATTCAAAAATTTGATTTAATTTCTGATTCTGCTTTATGGAAATTATTTAAAAAAAAAATGTGTTAATTATAGCTAATAATAATTTTTGCAGTAATTATTATATAGCATAGGTTTATTACTGTATTAGAATTAAATGAGAGGATTCGAATGAAGATATGAAAGTAATCTGATGAATAATTGTTTTAGAGCAAATAAAAAATGGGTCCAGAGGATAAGAATCTCACCTTATCTCAAAGCAAATATGAGCATACAGACAAAATTTGCACGAGGAGGAAAGCCCTTTTCCCCAATGATGATTGTGACAGTGATCTGGGGGTGATGAGTCCATTGCAGAACAGTGACTCAAATTCCTCCTGTGATGTTGCTGTGAATGCAAAGAATTTGAACCACTTCAGCTTCTTCAGAAACAACATTGATGATTATGTGTTGTTCGAAAACACAAATGAAGATGCCAGATTGTATCAAAACGATCTGGAAGCAACTCCTTCTACAATCTCAACAAATGCAGATCTGTATATGTCTCCATTGGTGGTGACTCCAGGACAGAGTGTCTCCTCACCACTGACGTACTCTCCACCGCAACCGGTGACACTGCTAACGCCAATCGGCAAATCTCCTACATCGAAATTGAAGACACCGCATGACACCTCAACAGTGAAAGTGAACATTAAACATCAGAAACGAAAGCTGCAGGAAGAGCTTGTTGAGGGAGATAACGTTGCTTCGCCGGAGACGAAAACGGCGAAAACTGAATCAACGAATAAATCGAAAGTTCGCACTGCTCTATTCCCTGATTACATAGTGCCGGTCAAATCTTTCTATCCCAAAGAGAGTCAAACGACGAAACGGATGTTAGGCAAATACACCGAAGTTGCTAGAGATACGAAAAGGAAGGCGGACACCACTTATCTGTGCAGCAGACGTTTGAAGAACAAGAACAGGTTTGGACAGATAAACGCTGGTGTTAAGCACAAGATCAAAAAACCCAAAAAGAAGGTTCTATCCAAGCAGGCTATCATCAAAGCCGCCTTAAACATCATGGATAAATCTCCGCTCAACGATTACCTAGATCAAGTGGCGTGCGTGAAAACGACGATCTCGCCTAAGCAGATACAAAAAATGGACCAGATTCTTGGCAATCTCGAATCCACGCAAATAGAAGGAGTAGATGATGATAAGATTGAGGAGGATGAGGAAGACGCAAATAAGGAAAACGTTTGCGCAAATGAGAACGTTTCGAATAAAAGATTCTTCAAGTCGACACGAAATTCGGGCATCGTGACTATAAATAAGAATATCAAGTTGAAGGTGGGCGATGGAAAGATGAATCTCTTGCAAAAAAAAGCGACGAAGAAACGGAAAATGCCTGATTACCCGGAATTCAATGTGGATATCGACAATATTTTAGACACGTTGAAAGACGAATCGAACAAGTCCGATTTGATTCTGTCGCCGACGTCGCAGATGTGCGACATGACCTCCGGATTGGCAATTCGAAGCCCGAAACGAGCACGGCTTAATATTAACGCCCTTTTAGACGAATCTCAGCAGCAGCAGTTGACTGCAACTAAATTAAATAATTTCTCTGTAGATATGGAACAACAACAACAGCAGCAACAAGAACAACAACAACCCAAGTTATATCCAATATTTTATGGGTCTAGCAAGACTGCGGATGACGCCGAAATCAAGAAACCGGTGAATCAGACTAAGAAATGGCAGAAGTTACCGGAGAGTCAATTGTTGCTGGATGCTGGCCAAAAACGTTTCGGTTTGACGCAATGCAGCGAATGCCAAACGGTTTACCATATGGGCGATCCTAATGATGAAATCGAGCATTTGAATTACCACAATGCCACAAACATATTCAAATTTGCTGTGAGTATTCTAATAATTTGAAATTGTTCAAATAATCAATCTAATTCTTTTAGGGATGGAAAAATGAGCGCGTCGTCATGAATATCGATCAGAACAGTAGGATTATCAAAGTCCAACCTGGAGATTCTAAAGCTTGGTGGAAGAAAATTAAAGATCTTGTTGAAGTGGTCAATAGAGATTTAGGATTTTACGAGCTGGACTTCCCAGTGGATAAATCAATTGTAAGAGAATTCCATTTATCCACTTAATCAACTATATTAATCTTTGTTTCTTGTTCGATTTCAGGTTTATTTATTTATAAAGAATAAAACTATTGTAGGCTGTTTAGTAGCTGACATCGTTACTACTGCTTACAAGATGTTGTCTAGCACGAGCGGCGTCGATCTGTGCTCGGAGGAGAGTTACAAAATTAAATGCGGCGTATCGCGAATCTGGGTTTCTAAGAATCACCGAAGATCAGGTGTGGGTACCGGTATGATGAACATACTTCGAACCACTTTCTTGCCCGGCTTCATAATGACCCTCGACGATATCGCGTTAAGTTCCCCGACCGAATACGGGAAGCAATTCGCTAAAAAGTACTTCAAAACTGAGAACTACTTAATTTACATGTGAAGTTTAGAGAAATGTTTTTGTATTTTGTTTTTAATTTATTATTTTAGTATTTTTTAACAAACTAGTTTAAATTTTGTATATTTTTCTATAGAAAAAAGAACAAGCAAAAACCAAAAAAAAAAGAGAATGAAAGATAGAAACGGATAGCTTAGCTAAGGAATACAAATTATATGTTAAGAATATTTTTATAACAAAAGACGTTGTGCCTAAATTCGTGTTGTAGATGATGGATGGAACGTGCCATTATTGTAATATTAGTAAGCAGATTTTTTTTATTTGAAGTTGTTTCAAATATTTTTGGAGAATTGCTACTGTGTTTGGAATAAATAATTGATTTTCCAAAAAAAAAAGTTTATCTTTAAAAAAAAATTAATATATATATATATATTACGTTAATTATTTGCTTGATATTTAAAAAAAAATTATATAGTTATGTGTGTTGCCTAATCAGTTTGTGTTGCTTATTTAGCAATGTGAGTTGCCTATTCATGTCACTAATTGACATGTTGTTAAACGTCATATGGCAAATGTCAACTTGGCAAGCAGAAGAATAATGTTTAGTTATTATTGAGGATTGTTTGTGCGTTTCTCAATCTATAAGCGATGGACATTGATAGTGAAAGTACAGCAACTTCTATTGATGAAAACACGGAAAACTTTTGCGATAATCCGACGAGGGACACTTTGGCTGAAGGATTGATGGGATTGATTAAGCCTACAGTTGATCAACTGGATGAAAGATTAAGAGCCACAAGGTAATAAAGTTGCTTTATTTTTTCTAATTATTAATATATGTTTATTTACAGGATATCACAATTGGAATTGAAGCAGTGCATTGAATCATTGACGGAGGAACTGAAAAAGATTTCTGAATCTCAAAGGAACTATGCTGACATTGAGATTTACGTAAAGAAACTGATAAGTGCAAAGCATAGGGTCACTGTATTAACAAATATATTGCAAAGCACCCATGATCGTTTGAGCAAAGTGCATCAATCTATTGAGAAGGAATCATTGAAGAAGAAGGCTTTATTGGAGCATTCAATTGAAGATTTGTAAAAAAAAAATGCATTTACAGACAGCCGAGTATGATTTATCGTCGCACGCGGACGTGTATGAACCCAGCGAGGACAGTTTTTTGTTTCTGGACGCATTAGAAGAGGAGTTTGGCAATTTAGTTGATCTCAAACCATTGAATATCGTTGAAATTGGCTCGGGGAGCGGAGTTATTATAACTTCTTTGGCCAAAGCTTTGAAGAACGCAAACTTTTTCGCTGTCGACATCAACATGAGTGCGTGCAAAGCAACGCAGATGACGGGCGAGTTGAATGCGACTGCGATCCAACCGCTCTGCATGGATTTGTTGGGGCAATTCAAAGAAAACATGTTCGATGTGATTGTATTCAATCCGCCGTACGTTGTAACGGATTCTGAAGAACTTTGCGGAAATGGCATTAACAGAGCGTGGGCTGGAGGTAAAGACGGTAGAGAAATAATTGATAAACTGTTACCAAAAATTCCAAATATTTTAAGTTGCAAAGGAATCTTCTATTTGCTTCTATTAAAAGAAAACAAACCCAAAGAGGTTATAGATTTTATGTTCACCTTAGGATTTGCCCACAAGATTATTAAAGAGCGTAAATTGCTTGGAGAATATTTATACATTGTTAAGTTTAATAAATAAATATCTTCGTTTTGAATGTTTATTTACATTAGACTACTAATAATAGTTTATTAAATTAATGATGGCCATGATCATGTTTGGATGGAAACATTTTGTCATATAGGGCAGTTCCTGCGATGGTGACCAGAAATGCACCAAAACCATACTTGAATCCCCTGAAGAAAGTCATCTTGACGCGCGACGAGAATGTTCCAAACTCCTTCTCGTTGTATCTCCACACTTCATTACGTAGCCATGGGTCTTTCAATCCCTGCGACTGCAAAGCCCTCTGGGTTTGCATCAGAATAGGTACATCCTCGACCTTGTAGATTCTGTAGTCGGGGATTTTGTAGGGATCGCCGTGTCCATGTCCGTGACCCATCTGCAAATATCAAAATATTAAATAGCGAAACATAACCTATCAATTATGTAATGAAATTTACGAACAATTTAACGAATGCACAAGTTACTAATAGCTTTTTAGATTTCAAATGAAATGGTATTGATTTATTACATACATTATAGTGAATATTACCTTAAATTCCTAATACAAAATAGGTAATGTGACAATCTATTCGACCAACAACAATTGCAAAGGCTTGAACTGTCACAACTTGGATATTGAACAGCGGCGATCAATATATGCAACCAACATTACTTATGATAATCAAACTAATTCTAATATAAAATTATTGCCTTAAGTGGCAAAAATGGGGCTGTACTGATTTTAATTTTAACCATATACAACGTTAATTATAAGAATTTGATGGATAATTTCATCATGTATATAATATAATTTATAAAAATATTGTTTTTTTTTTTAAATAGAAAGAGATTTATATCAATTTATTTATTGATATAAATCTCTCCGGCCCTATTTCTACCCCTTTCTGGTTTAACAGCCACCACAAATTTTTGTTGATTTTCGTGATACAGGCGAGCATAAAAATATTAATAATATAAAGTAGTCCTAATCGTTTTTTTTCACTAAGATTCAACACTGCAAATGTCAAATATATACAACCAACATTACTTATGATAATCAAATAGGATCGTAATGATTTAATTTTTAGGAAATGAACGAAGAAAATTTAATTATTGATCGATATACAACGTTGATTATAGGAATTTATGAATAATTTCATCACAGAAAATAATTTACAAAAATATTATTTATATAAAATATTCCTATTTTTTTTTACTAAGATGTAATATAGAATATATATATATATGCAACCAACATCGCTCATGATAATCAAATAGGACTGTAATGATTATAATTTTAGTAAATAGATAAAGAAAGCGTATTTGAAATATCGATATGGATGCAACGTTGATTTCTATAAATTTCTATGGATAATTTCCCTACGAAAAATTATGTGTAAACGAATGTCAAAATATATGCAACCAACATCAGTTATGATAAACAAATAGGACCATAATGATTTAAAATTTAGGAAATAGATAAAGAAAAAATGTAATTGAAAGCGGTGGCAATCGCAAGCCGGACAACTGAAATATCAAATCCCGACGTTTGAAATGTCGACTGTATCGAAATCCCGACTGTATCAAAATCCCGACTATATCGAAAATGTCTCAAAATAACATTTTTAAATTATTCCTTAGCGTAGTGACTTTTAAATTGTTATTAATAATAAATAATAACAATTCTATTTGAGATTATTTCATAATGTTAAGGTTTATTATGAATAATTCAACAAAATCAAATACATTAATAATTATTTATTCTTATTAATAATAAAAGTGTAGCATAAGGTGACTGCGCTCAAAAATAATTTAAAATGTTATTGATAAAATTTTCGATAAAGTCGGGATTTTGATACAGTCGGGATTTCAATAGACGGTTGTCGGGCTTGCTATATAGACCCAGATTTAACAGCTGCGAATGTCAAAATATATGCCACCAACATCAGATATGATAATTAAATAGGACCGTAATGTTTAGAATTTAGGAAATAGATAAAGAAAAATGTAATTGAAAGATTCCTATGAATAATTTCATCACCAAAAGTAATTTATAAATAATATAAAGTATTCCTAAACGTTTATTTATGTATTTTTAATAAGATGATTTAAAATTAGAACTCGTATAGATTATATAAATCACCAGACTATTGTTCTTTTCGCATTATAAAAAAAATACTTTATCAAAATACTTTGAATTACAAAGTGTAACCTTTACTCAATCAGAATAGAGTATTGAAATTAATCTTAATTAGTGATTTTTTTCATTTTCACTTTTCTTATCTATAAACCTTTTGGAAAGAAATTTTTCAATATTACGTGAATTATAATTAGCTGGGCGAATGTAGATATGAAGAAAAAACACTTAAATTAAATTACCATTAAACACGAAGATTTCGAATTTCAAGGTACGCCAAGTTTCTTAGCTGTTACACAAAAAGTAATATTAATTTTTATTAGCAGAAACATTCTGCTCGGTGACTTGACCTGACTTAACGTGAATAATTCCCAATCGCAATCACCGAAATACGAATTGAAAACGTGAAACAAAGTGCAAATTACATTTTGTCGTACATACAATACAGATAGATGGATGCCTTGCAAAACGTTTTATCTGGTTTATCCAGTCTATAAATGTATTGTTATTTAGATTACGACCCCCATTATCTAAGGTGGAATCTTATCAGCGTTTTCTATTAATCTGTACGTTTTACGTTCTACGGATCACAATTATATGATGAGTGAGTGAATGTGAAACATATCGAAATGAAGTTCATCAATAGAATTATGTGCTGCAAACCAGCTCAGCCACAAATCCAAAACAAACAGACTACAAAAGACGGTGAGTTGAAGTTAAACTAGATTGATTGATTGATAAAATTGCATTTAAATTAACTAGGTAAGAAAGCTGCAACTTCGTCGCGCGTCGTCGAAGATCAACCGAAAACGAGCTTAAGTCGTACAGGCTCAAATTCGACAACGCTGAGCGTGAAATCGTTCTTCAGCGTCAAAACTATGGCTTCCGGTAACGAAGATTTCCACAGCGTCTGCAGCTACGAGTAGTCTGAGAAACCAAACACTCTTATTTATTTCATCATCAAATCATTAAGAAGCTTCGGAAGAGGAGAAAAGTAACCGATCTGTGATCAAAGATACAAAATGTTACTGACGAACGCATATTCATTTTTGAATGAACGATAGAGTTTATTTTGTTTAAGAAATATTGTATATTTTTTAGTTGTTTGTTGTTTATTAATCTTAATAAATATTTTTGTATTGAAAAAAAAGATTTGGCTACATTTCTTTTTACAGTTCGTTTTTGGAGGCTTCAAGAAATATTCTCTGATTTGTTTGAATGTGGGCCGATAAGATAAAGTTCCTTTTTGGAGGGTCTATTGTATAGATTGCGAGCGAGCGAGCGTTCTCTGTCTCGATCTGTCTGTTTCAATTGCTCGTATCGAATTACGTTTTGGAACAGTTTTATATCGAGGTGTAGTGAGATAAACAATTCGGAAAACGAAATTTCGTCATTACGCACCTGCATAACAACAGAGAGAAGAAGAAAAAAAAAGAGTGGAATTCTGAATAACTACAATTGCAGTCGTATAGCCGAAATGGAAAAGTACAGAATTTACCTGCTCTCGAAAAAGCAGGCAGTTCCGAACCGTAACCATAAAGGGCAAGAAAAAAAAAGAAAGAAAGATGTGTACGGATAATCCGCAATTTCCTTTTGAAACTCTCACCCGCCTTCTTTTTCCCAAACAAGTTCGTTCATGTCTACAAGGCCGACTGCGATATGCCCATTAAAATTCGCTATTTCGCACAGAAATTCATAATCCTAATCCGAAAGAAAAACCTGACAAGTTAAAAAAAATAATTAAATTTTTGCACATGAAAAAGTTTATAGAATGTATATAATACAATTCGTTATTTTTCTTTTGTTAGTGGAGGGATTTTCACCGCCTACTACAAGTTCCTTTATTTCTACAAGGCCGACTGCGATCTCCATTAAATTTCGTAATTTCGCATAGAATTTTTGCACATGAAAAAATTTAAAAAAATGTACACAATACAATTCGTTATTTCTATAATATTTGTCTTTACCAACAAAAAGTATTGGAAATGGGAACGTTTTAGCACGAAAACTAATAGATTTTTCACAAATATTTAATGGCCTGCTTTTCCCCAAACTATAAGTTCTTTCATTTCTACAAGGCCGATTGCGATCTCCATTAAAATTCGTTATTTTGCACAGAAATTCTTAATCCTAATCCGAAAGAAAAACCTGACAAGTTAAAAAAAATAATTAAATTTTTGCACATGAAAAAGTTTATAGAATGTATATAATACAATTCGTTATTTTTCTTTTGTTAGTGGAGGGATTTTCACCGCCTACTAAAAGTTCCTTTATTTCTACAAGGCCGACTGCGATCTCCATTAAATTTCGTAATTTCGCATAGAATTTTTGCACATGAAAAGGTTTAAAAAAATGTACACAATACAATTCGTTATTTCTATAATATTTGTCTTTGCCAACAAAATTAAAGTATTGGAAATGGGAACGTTCTTCCACGAAAACTAATAGATTTTTCACAAATATTTCATCGCCTGCTTTTCCCTAAACTAGAAGTTCCTTCATTTCTACAAGACCGATTGCGATCCCCATTAAAAATCGTTATTTTTCTTTTGTTAGTGGAGGGATTTTTACCGCCTACTACATGTTCCTTTATTTCTACAAGGCCGACTGCGATCTCCATTAAATTTCGTAATTTCGCATAGAATTTTTGCACATGAAAAGGTTTAAAAAAATGTACACAATACAATTCGTTATTTCTATAATATTTGTCTTTGCCAACAAAATTAAAGTATTGGAAATGGGAACGTTCTTGCACGAAAACTAATAGATTTTTCACAAATATTTCATCGCCTGCTTTTCCCCAAACTATAAGTTCCTTCATTTCTACAAGACCGATTGCGATCCCCATTAAAAATCGTTATTTTTCTTTTGTTAGTGGAGGGATTTTTACCGCCTACTACATGTTCCTTTATTTCTACAAGGCCGACTGCGATCTCCATTAAATTTTGTAATTTCGCATAGAATTTTTGCACGTGAAAAGGTTTAAAAAAAATGTACACAATACAATTCGTTACCTCTATAATATTTGTCTTTACCAACAAAATTAAAGTATTGGAAATGGGAACGTTCTTGCACGAAAACTAATAGATTTTTCATAAATATTTCATCGTCTGCTTTCCCCAAACTATAAGTTCCTTAATTTCTACAAGGCCGATTGCGATCTCCATTAAAATTCGTTATTTAGCACAGAAATTCGTAATTCTAACCCGAAAGAAAAAAATACCCGCATATTTGTCAAGAAAAATATAATTAAATTTTTGCACATGAAAAAGAATATAATGAATTTCTTTATTTCGTTATAGTATTGTTCAGAATATCTCTCGTACTGATACAATAGAAGTAGTGGAAAGTTTTGCACGAAAAGTAATAGATTTTTCGCAAATATATATAAGAAATTATCGATTTTTGTCAGTGCAGCTGCACACGATTTACCGAAACGAGAGAGGTACATTTCCGAAAACTGGTGCACACAATGAAAATCGATATGTATGCATGCGAATGTTATT